TGAGCAGGGGACGGGGAGAGGGAGAAGCAGACTATGTTGGGGGATGTTTCCAAGACACCAAGGGCAGGCCTGTCTCCATGCCAGCGTGCGTGTGCGTGTGTGTGTGTAACTGGGGGAGTGCTCTGTGAAGCTGGGAGGTCCAACCCCACAGAGACAGGCATGGAGAGACAGCAGAGCCTCGGAGAGGCCAGGCACTGGAGAAGAGTCCTCACAGGCCATGTTGAGCTCAGCTCCCAGGAATGGCAGGTGCTTTGGGCTCAGGTAGTGGCTGGGGGCTGCTGCACCTGCTATGCTGGGCTTTCAGGAGGGGCTGCCGTGGCCACGGGCACATCCCTCAGCTGGGTCCTGATACTCATCCAGGACCTTGAGATCATGACCTGAGCCGAAGGCAGACGTTTAACCTACTGAGCCACCCAGGTACCCTTCTGCTCACCTTTATTATTCCAATAATAAATACACAGCATTTGGCCCACAGAAGGTTCTCAACAAATGTTGATTACTTCTGAATCTTAGAGATTGCAGGATGCCTTGGGCTGCATGTAACAGAAAATCAGACTCAACGCGCTATAAATAACATGGAAATATATGCTTATAGAAGAAGCCCAGTGGTGTGGCAGGTTCCAGTATACCAGGATGTTGGAAACAATTCTCTGCCATTCTTTTGGCTCAGCTTCATCATTGTGCTGGCTTTCATCCTCAACAGCAACTGTGATAACATGTTTCACTGAACATGTCCTGTGGGAAAGAGAACTTTCCATAAATCTGGGCTATATGTTTGAGTGGGTCATTTTTGATCTCATGTCTACCTCCAGACCAATGACAGTTGCTAGAGGACTATTAGTCAAGGGATGATTAATTATTTTTTAAAAATCCACTGCTGGAGCTGAGTAAAATCAAGATTTGGGTAGGGAGGAAGAAAAGAGAAATGTATGCTGTAAGGCGACCAGCAGAGTTCATTACTGAGACAAGCCCAAGAATAGGTGCCAAAGAGAACATTAAGTCCAGATACATTTTCATCTATTGTGGCCAAATGGAAACGACATCTTCTCAGTAAGAATAAGGTCCAAATGAACTGCTAAAATTATAAATTGAAGATTTCTTATATAGGCCAATACCACGAAGCAGACATTTGTTTTTAGGTGTGGAAGATCAAGCAGAGTAAGATTTTGTTGATGAGATTTTTTTTTTAGGAGTAGATACTATGAACCACGTCCTCTTTTATGTTAGGGCGAGCTCTTCCAAAGTTAGAAAAAATGATCAACAAAGATCTTTATTTTGTGCTTCCAAACTCTATTTTTCCCATTTGCATCCACTGTTGATAGCTCAATTTTATTAGCATCACTTCCTCCCTCTTTTTTCACTGCATTAAAGCCATCAGCAAAACAAAGTGATTTGTTCTTCACAGAGAACACTTAAAATACTCTTACTCTGTAATAGTTGAAACCTGGGTCTAGATATCTCCTACCATTTCTTCCTGTTTGGTCTGAAGGGAAACAAATACATTGGACCCTCTTGGGTGAACCTAAAATGCTGTTAGTAGGTGGACACCTCTTACCAGCCTACAGCTCATGCCTGGAGGTAATTATCAGGCTTGCCATGTGCCTTCTGGGTGCAAAGCACCTTCAGGAACACCCAGAGACCAGTCCCATTTTAACTAATGCCACACTTCAGGGGCTATGTGGACTGTAGAGCACAGTTGGGCATCAGGCCTAAAGCATTGATTCAACACAATTTTTACATTCTTCTATTTTTCTATTTTACTAATAACCTACTGAAAGGAATAAACACACCACAAAGAAACAATAAATCCACTGCTTTCCAAAGTCCAATTTACTAACTTTCTGTGTCGTTTACTTCTCTGTAATCATCATAATTCTTAAAACTTTTCTTGGTCTTCCATTTCCTTCTGAAACTCATTAGCAGAATATGAAGGCAATTTTGTGGTTCATGGTAAACAGCTAAAATGCAGTTGACATGTAAGTGCCAATGTCAAATCTTTTTCACATTTCAAGGCCAAGCTCAAGCGTTAGCTCTTCTGTGAAACCATTCCTTCAATTTCTGTCTTATTCGTAATTAATTCCACTTCCTCTAGACACTGACAAAATATCAACTTGTACTTCTATAACATGGTAAAAACAATTACTGCAACAGCAATTAAGTTCCCTGTTTGGTCTGGCAAATTTCTTGGTTGGGCTTTCCAAAAGCTACTTCTGAGATGTAGATTTGTGTGCAAGCGACTTACGGAGTACTCTCAGGAGGAACACAAACAGGAATAGGGGAGGCAGGAGAGAATAGGGAAGAGGGGCTAAGTAAGGGTGTGGTCTTTAGGTGAAGTCCAGCCTCACCATGATTCCACGGGAAGCTATGAGGCAGAAGCTGCACTGCAGTCTGTCAGCCATTGGCTTGGGGCTGCCCAGTGGGGACAGAAACTCAAGTTTGCCTGGTACTTGTGGCTCTCTAGTCCTACGGGCAACTCTAGCCACCCAAGGGTAGTCCTCTAAAGAAGGTAGTAGACACCATCCTTAGCAGTAAACATGTGGAAACTGGGAGGATGAGAGCACAGACCACAAGGGACCTGAGCGGAGCTCAGTGGAGCACGGCTAGTGTTCACTACAACACATACCAACGAGAGGGCTGAGGATTATAGCCAGCAATTATTAAGTACTGACTGTATGCCAGCACTCTTCTAAGCTCTTGATAATATTAGCCTATTTAATCCCTACAGCAACCTTTTGAAGTGCCTAATATTATTTCTGTTTTGTCAAATGAGGGAACTAGATGTATTCATGGAAGCAACCTATCTAAAGTGACACGAAGATTTCATGGTGTAACTGAGATGTGAATCAACAAATGGGGATATGTGATTCAACAGCACACACTCTAAACACCATGCCACTCACTTTGGTGTGGCTTCTCAATATACGAAGCTAGAAGAGTGGCAGAGCCTGAGTCATCTGACCTGGGCTCATATGTTGGTAGCCAAGAACAAAAGGAGACAACATATCTAATACAGTTGGTGCAGGGGAAAAAAAAAAAAAAACCTCAATAAAATATTAGCCACTATTGCTATTAAAGAAGAGAAGATAGAGCAGGTTTAAAAAATCTCTTTTCTATAATGGTACCGCTTAGATCTATCAAAGCCTTTCTTTTGCTTTCCTCAAACACGTTTGAAGAGGGAGGAAAGCAGCAAATTTATTCTCAGTAGCTCTGTTGTATATTATACATTTGGCTAAATTTCTTTACAGAGAATAAGGGAAAAGGACAAGGGAAGAAACAAAAAAAGGAAAAGAGTATAACATTATTAGGAAAAGTTACTGGGAATGATAGAAGCAAATATTCTGAACAAATTCCTATTCATTGTACTTCTGCGTTTCTGAGGATGTGGCTATTAAATTGTGTTTTCCTGAGTAGAGTGATTTTTAATTCCCCCGTGCATGTCATCAGTTACTAGCTAGTACCTCACCTCCCATAAACAATATAACTTTTTGCAGCACATTAGAAAATTTAGTCACTTTTCACGACTGGAATACAAATGCCAAAAACATCATTTCTGGTATCTTTAAAAATCATTAACTGCCTTAACCTGAATTCCAGGCATAGAAAAACTGCAATAATTTTCATCAAAGCCTTTATTTCTTTAAGATTGGTTGAATACCTACGATGATGGAAATAAAAATTCTGGGCTCTTAACTATGAACTAAGCATCAGTGGAGAATATTTCAATGTATTTCCAATTCTAGGATCCTAGTTCCTTTTTAGGCACACTGAATATCTTTGCAACATATAAAGATAACCTTAAGATAGGTTTTCTCCTCAATAAAAAATAAAGTAAACTTAAACTTTTGTGGTCTTTCCAGAATTTTTCTTACGGCTGACTTCTGGTTTCACAGCACTGTGGTCGGAATGATCATAGTTTTGGGAGACACGTAAGACAAAAAAGCTACCTGCTGCACAGTAGGTAGTCGCTGAGAAGGGAACTCTGTTTATTTCTGCTCCTCCAGTCAGGGGAGAGATGTAATAGCCAAACATATTTAACAAGCAGCACGGCACAAGCAGCAACCAATCCCAATGGATGTGACAGCCAATCAGAACAATGCTGCAACCATCCGGAAGAGGTGATGCAACCAATCAGAATGGATGCTAGCTGAAACACAGGTGAGGTCATGCCTGGGGATCCCGCTAGATAGCAACCTTGCCCCCAACTGATGGGAAACTCAACTGTCCCCATATTACTCAACGTTACTCACACAGAAACTTATTTTTAAAAATTCAGGCCATTTTGGGGGTAAAAATGAGAGTTTTTCACTCTCCAGATTCCCCCTTTTCTTTGGTTAGCAATATTTTTTTATTATGTTATGTTAGTCACCATACAAGTACATCATTAGTTTTTAATGTAGTGTTCCATACCATTGTTTGTGTATAACACCACCCAGGGCTCCGTGCAATACGTGCCCTCCTTAATATCCATCCAGATCCCCTTCAGCTCTCAGCTATGGTGGGAAGGAATTCCCAAAAAGACTGACTTGAGAAAGGCATTATAAATAAATAATTGTGAACTTACATACCAGGCACGGCACATGTATTATCTTCCTTAATCCTCACAACAATCCTAGGAGGTGGGTACTTTTATTATCCTTGTTTTAGGGATGAGGAAACCAAGGCATGGAGAAACTGAGTCACTAGATCAAGGTCACACAACTAACACATCTCAGAGCGGGTATTCAAAGTGGAAGGTGGTCCTTCTACTTTACTACCACTCAGGATGTTATTAGCAAGTGGGCATTCTCATCAACATCATATTATCTGCTCAATTCCATCCTCCCATCTAGCTAATGATAAAATATCAAAGACGTGTTCTGATATTTGGGCTACGCTCGGAACCCATGAAGTCACTGACCAACATTTGTCCCCAGCATGGTCGCAGTTGCCCAATTTGTGATCTAACTGGCTTCAAACAGACAACAGTCAGGAAAGGCAGAAAAGTTTTTTAAAAATATTACCTTATTCTCTTGTCCTCCACTTTTTTCAAGTATTCATCTCTCTTTAAGACTCCCAGGATCATTTCCTTCTCATGATCTAATAAAAATGACAGATTGATAAACTCCGAGTTCTTAGACATGGTATTCCAGCAGCAGCTCTGGGTAGCAGTGGTTGAATCTTCCAGGTGAATCGATAGCCACAGTTCTTAAGGCCCCCCTGAACAGCCCAGAGTCACTCAGTTGTGTTTGATGGCAGAGTGGTTTTTTATAAGGTCTCTGAAGAAGTGCTGATGGTAGTCAGGTATTCTTCCAGGCTACACAAAAAAGAGATACCACTGGGATTACATTCCAAGAAAGTCATTATTGTTCTAACAGAAAGGTCACCAAAGCCTTTGCTGTGGTGTCCAGTCAGGGAGGCAGCTGTTTCACTGATGAGGACGAACGCCAATCCTTCAGAACGGCACAGAGCAGGAATCAGATCTGCTGGGGCAGAATCCAGAAAACCCAGGGAAGATAGAGAAAGCAAAGGAGGGAAAGATTAGTTAGGAAAATTAATTAGGCCATTTCCTGAAGAGCACACACATTGTCTAATGTTTGAAACAGTGACGTACCTAACTCAAAAAAAATTTGAATCGTAAACATGCAATTATTAAATAATTGCTGTGTATGTTTGTTGCCATGAAATATTATTTATATTTAGTTGATTCCAGATTCTCTGTGCAAATTCAGCTTTTTCCCTTATAATTAGTTTCCTTTACCAGCCAGGTCCTGTTACCACCCTTGCAGCTGACCCATGGGTAAACTGAGTCACCACTGCAGGACACTAAGTGCACAGCTTGGACTGTCCCTTAACTGGCTCCCTCCTATTCCTTCCCTTCCTCCCCACAACTAGGACCACTGCATCCAAAGCACTGCTAACAAAACAAATATGAATCAGTGCTACCTGGAATGTTATTCATTGGAATGTTTCTCACAAACACAGCAATGAATGAAAAAAAAAAATCAAGTGGCAGAAGACTTCATGCAGAATGACAGCATATATGTGAAGGAAAAAAAAATTTCTAGTAGCATTGTATCTAATTTAGGAACATATACATTTGTAGTATCCATACAAGGGATTTCAAGGGGAATTCAGAGGTACAGTCAAAGAGAACGCAGAAACTTCAACCATATTGGATAATGTTTTATTGTCAAGATGACTATGTCTCAGGATGTACATATTTGTGAATTATTCTAGGTATGTATTACATACCACAAAACAGATGTCTCAAAACTTCCCCTTGTCAACATAAGCAGCTCACCGGGCCTTGTCCCTCACCCTAACTCTTGAGCACATTCTTCCATTGGCTTGGTACATAGATTCTCTCTGAACATCCCCATAAGAATGAAGACTCTAGGCCTGTGGCCTCTCCCCTGACACTGTCCGTCAGTTTCCCTCAGTGTCATCCCCTGACACTGTCCCTCAGACTCCCAGGTCTATGAATTACAGTCTATGTGCAAGTTACACTTGGTTTGCTTGGTTATAGCCACGTTTCCAAACATAACTAGATATCCAAAGGCTGCTTTGGGGCCTCCCAGTTGCCATAAGGCTAGGCTGACATCAAAATCTCAGGAAATCTGAAAGGACAGGATCTTGTCCAGAGCCTAGCTTTCCAAAGCCCCCAGGTGTTTGTTCTATACATTGTACACCAAACCATAACTTGGCTGAAATGACTCAGAAATGAGCTTCTTCTGATAGGTCAAGGGCTAGCCCCCTCTGAGAAAACTGCCCTGGTCAGTACAGGCTTTCCAGAAGGACTCCAGGCCTTTCCTCCATCTTCAAAACCCTAGAGGCAGCAGAGATGACAGAGTCCCAAAGTTGACATGAACAGGAAGCAACAAGGTTAGAGCAAAAAGGGGTCTTCAGAAAGGTTAATGGTTTGGTTTTCGCATCACTGTCAACTGTGGTCTCCTCAGATAAAGAACACAACCGGTTTTTCCACCCCTTTTGTGGTTCATCTGGTCTCACACTGAAATGGAAAAGCCACTTGGTAGTTCAATGGATGAATATGCTACCATTACAGACAGGTTCACTTAGAATGTATTTTATATTTGAAATGTCAGATTTAGAACGCCGTATGTGAATATTCTGTAGAATTGTAATTAGAAGTTATTCAAGGGCTTGGGAGCCACAAAAATATTTGAGTTGAAGCTTATGGCTGTCCTTGCCTTGGATCATAAATGCAAATCTGCCCTTTAAAGCTCCAAGGCTCTGCCCAGTGAGGAGAATAAAAGGAGGGAGCACAGTAACACCACAGGGTAGCATTGGAAAGTGACAGAGAAGATGGGAAATCATGCAAAGGTATAAAGGAAAGGAAATTGCCCTGGGAGAGTTTCATTAACAATATTAGCCCTAAATAGATTTTTGCTCATCTGTACCAGGACTGAAGAGAACGGATTTATAAATGAGCGGCCAAGGAGATTAGAAGGAGCCAAAACTTTATCAAGAAAATGAGGGTGTTTCCTCCAGGAGGCAGGACTGGACTGGGATTATAATTTAATAGGAGGGAACCTAACTGATGATAGTCCTTCTGGAGAAAGATGGGGTGAGGAAGAGGAGACAGTGAGCCTGGGCGTAGACAAAGGAGATCTAAGGGGCTAGATGCCAATGATGCCCATCCAGGCTCTCACCAGAAGGAAAACACTTGGGCGTCAAAATGAAAGCAACCCTTTTATTCCCTGTTGCGCATGTTCCATGTTGAGGGATGGGGCCTCAGTCTGGCAAATTTCATGATATTAATGATGCAAATCATACAACCATTTCCTCTTGTTTGAACTTCGCTTCCTCCTGGACACTTCTGATTGTAAGTGGACTTACCATACAGCCCTGGTCCTGCCAACGGAACACTCTGTGTTTGATTGCGTTTGAACCTACGTCTCATCTGTTCTCTGTACACCAACCAAAGGAAATTTCTGAGCCTTTGGAGGACCAGCATCTGGGTTGGGATGAATTCACCTAAATCTGTACAATTGTTTAATGCCTCTTTTCAGCTAGTTCACACCCCCTCCTGGGGAATCCCTTGCCCCCTACACACTTTCGTGAGTTAAGAAAAAATGAGTAAAAATAATCACCAGTGCCTTTTATCACCAGAGTCAATTCTCTCTCTCTCTCTCTCTTTTTTTTTTTTTTTTAGTTAAAAGTGCCTGGTAAAACATTAGTCCGATTAAAAGAAATCCATTTTTATTTTATTTTTCAATATTTTCACTTAGATATCTTTCCTTAAACATTTCAGATGTGAATTTTTCCCTCTCTGGCCAGCAGCCTTGCCAAATTGAGCTAAACTATTTAAAAAGATGACAGAATAGTTTCTAAGTCATTCTTTTGCCCTTTAGCAAAGACAGCTTTGGACAGATCATTAACTGCTGAGCACCAGAAAAGGTGCAACAATAAAAAATTCTCAGGGCGCCCGGGTGGCTCAGTCAGTTAAGCATCTGACTCTTGATTTTGCCTCAGGTCATGACCTCAGGGTTGTAGGATCAGGCCCTGCATTGGGCTCTGTGCTCAGTGCAGAGTCTGCTTGAGATCCTCTCCCCCCGCAAAAAAAAACAAAATCTTTAAAAAATTCTCACAGCATCAGCAAAAGGCATTTAAAAAAAAGAATGCATATGTTTTGAGTAACACACACTTAAATACAGGTTGATACCTTAGTCAAAGGAAAGAGCTGAACATATCTTATGAAGGAGTACTTGAAATGCAGCTTTCAAAGTGAACTATTTCTGGAAGTGTTCTTAGGATGAAATTAATAAAAATAAAATCAACTTCCTGTTTGTCACTGTGTGACCACACAACAGTGAGGGAGATTTCTGGCACACTAAGAGATGCTCAGGATACACATGAAACAACATACGCAAAACGCACTTGGGAGTGCCTTTCAAATAGATGAGCAGGCAAGAATCCACATGCCTGTCAAACAGTGAGACCGATCATAGAGATAAAGATGCTGTGGGGAGTGAAATAAATAGTTCTTTCACTACAAAAGACTCAAGGGCAGGTGGTATGGAATCATAGGCATTTATTTCCAGTAGCGCAATTTCTTCCTACAAGGACAACTGCGTGGTACCTTCAATGGCAGTGCAGTAGCTGAATTTTTTTTAAAGATTTTATTATTTATTTGAGTGAGTGAGCGAGAGAGAGAACATGAGCGGGGCGGGGGGGGTGGGCAGAGGGAGAAGCAGACTCCCCGCTAAGCGGGGAGCCCGATGCGGGACTTGATCCCAGGATACTGGGATCATGACCCGAGCAGAGGGGCAGATGCTTAACCCACTGAGCCACCCAGGCGCCCCTGAATTTTTTTTAAATTTCACAATGGTATTGATTCTCTGAACATTAATTGGGAGACCAATTAACAATATTAGCAGCTTTATAGCAATGGTCCAAGAGCAGAATGTTCCACAGTAATAGCTAACACTTATATAACTCAACTAATCCTTATAACTCCTTCACAAAATAAGTTATAATACCCTCATTTTATAGATGAGAAAGCTGAGGCCCAGAGAAGTTAATTAACATGCCCACGTGGTAAGTAACTCGGTGCAGCTTGTTTTCAGGGACCCTGCTTCTAATCATTACATGTGACTGCCTCTCAGTGCCTTCATGGACCAACAGCATCCCACAGAATGTCACGAGATACTCTATGGAATTTTTAAAAAGTCTTTTAGTCCAACAAAATTTCATATATGTCCAGTTAAATATTTTTTCTCCTACAGAACTTCTCAGAGTCTCTGATATTCTATTGTTAACTGTGAAGTGTCACAGAATTCTCAGTTTGGAAAACAGACATCTAACGTTATTCGGTTCTTATCTTGGCATCTTGTATTTTGGTATTTCTAAAGAGAAAACATTGTCCTACTTCTTTTAGAGGACTACATCTATCTTAAAAAAAACTGGTTATATGGGGCACCTGGATGGTTCAGTCAGTTAAGAATCTGACTCTTGATTTCAGCTCAGATCGTGATCTAAGGATCGTGAGATGGAGCCCCATGTTGGGCCCCACACTCAGTGCCAAATCTGCTTGGGATTCTTTCCCTCTTCCTCTCCCTCCCACTCTGCCCCTTCCCTGGCTCCCTCCCTCCCTCTCTCTCTCTAATAAATAAATAACAT